GACTCCAAGAGCAAGGCAAACAGGTCCATTTTGTTTCCTCCAGAAAACACTGGCTCCTGTTTGCACACTGGCCGTGCTGCCAGGGTGTGCTGAAGTGAAAGCTGTGTTATACCATCAGGTTTAATCTGTGTCATCCACATAATGCTCAGCTGTTTTGTGTTTATGGGATGATACAAAAAAAATTAATCTGGCTTCGTTTGAAACTTTACTGATTCTCAGGGACTTTGTCACAAAGCTTCTATTTATTTCAGAGAAAGCACAAACAAGCCTTGTAAAGATCAGGAGAATCTGACCTGCCTGTTTGCTGAAATGATCACTGGAAAGAGGATTTCCATTTAATGATCTTCATTCCAGTCACCACCATAAAACAATAACAATAGATAAAACATCAGCAACCCTGTGTTATTCATTAAGCAAAGCAAACCCACAGTCCATTGCTAACCTCAAGTGCTGAATCCACGCTAATTAGATTTTGGTAATTTTTTTCAGTAAATACTTTTGCACAGCAGAGATCTATCCAGGCAGTTGCTTTGCAAAATACTGATTTGCCACTGGTGGGGATAAAGGGAGAGTTAGAATTAGGTTTCCTGTGGTTAGGTTTCCTGAGGTTAGAGTTAGGTTTTCCTGCTCACAGGCTTAGTTGGGTCTCACTTTTCTAGAACTGAGACAGCCATTTTTCTGGCTCAGCTTGAAAGAGGAACTTAAAAGTGATGGGTGATTGACTGTTGGCTTTAACAAGAAGGATTGAAAGCAGTTTGGGGTTTAAAGTTCAGTCTCAGGACACAGAAAGAGTTAGGGTGAGGTTATGATTATTATATTTCAGGGAAAGGCTTCTAAACGGATCTAAAGTTTTGGAACAGAAGCCAAGGCAAAAAGGAGCCGTCAGGCTTGATTTGGGGTGAGGAGACAATAGGATGGGTAGATTGAATTATCTTGTGCTTTTTTTGAAAGAAGTTTGGAAATGATCTAAACCTCCTAAATATTGGGTTCTGAAGTTACGGAAGATGAGAGGCCTGTCTACCTGCGGTGAATAAATTTGTTTCTGATATTAGACAATTCTTAACTCTCCAAATTCAGGAACATTTTGCTGGATGGCTGCATGCAAGACCATCATCTTGTGGCAAGTGCTCAGGCTGAGAATCATCTATCAGGGGTCTAGATAATTTATAAGTAGTAGCTTGAGTTTCTAGAAGTGGGATTTGTCCTTTCAGACTCAAATGTCTATAACTATATCTGAAATCATTGTCTACATTAATTTCTTGTCAGGAAGATTATAGGTGTGCTGAGAACAGATTTGAGCCATCTAAGCAAAACACATCTCCCCTGTTGACAGCAAAGAGAGACTCTATGTCCAGCTAAGATTGTCATTACATCCTCTGCTCTGTAAAACCCTACAGTTAGGTAAGATGAATCCCGCCCCTAGAAGGCATGGAAAGGAGGCAGAGACTTGTTCTGGCAGCAAGCTTCTCATGCAGAAAGAAGTGGTGGGAAAGCAAAGGTCAGGCTGAGCTGTGAGGGATCAATGGAAGCTCCTCTCACAGGGTAGAAAAGACAGAAGGAAGGATAACCTGCTGCAGGTGAATGATTGCTGGGTAATTCCTGGAGGATCTCAATTAATGGAGTTGCAGCTTAATTAAGCCTCATCATTCATCGCTTGTCTTGCTTGCTTGTCTTGAACAGTAAATAGAGGAGGGAGGCAAACAGTACAAACTCTACCAGGTAAGTGGCCACTCCACATTTATGAGCACGGACTGTGAAGTAAGGTGGTCAGCAGCGGGGTCAGGCTGGGGAGGAAAGGGGGATTCTTACCATGGCTGTTGTCCCCAAGGAAGAGGAATGGGCTGATCAGGAGAGCATTTGTTTGTAAGTACAAAGGAAAGGCCCCAAACCTGCTTAAAGTGTGATCTGAAGGTTTTTGTAAGGAATGCACCGCATAAGGATGCTCCCAGACTAGCATACGGCGGCAGGCTTGGGTAGAGCGCTGTGAGTATGGAGTACGAGCGTCACTATAAATTTCACTCATTGGGCTCGTTGCTGTAATTTGGGGGAGAAATTAAAACCTGCAGTCTAAAGAGAAGGCTCATATATTACGAAAACACAGTAGGTTAGAGGAGCATGAACCAAACTGGCTAAAAGCAACGACAAATTTTAAGAACTGCCATTTCAAAAGTTTGCCCTGGAAAAACAATGCATACATTGGCAGACGGTCATCTCCCTGACCTGTGTCTGAGTAAAAGCAATCTGCTCTCATATATTCTGCTCTTACCACACATGCATCCGTCTGCTAACCTACTTGTGTGGTTCTGGCACTGTTTGAAGAATAAATAGGACATCTGATCTTGGAGTCCAAGCCGAACAGCGTAAGAAAGGAAAATAAGTAGGGACACAGAGAACCTGCTTTTCACCACTGTTTCAATGGTCACATTTTTTTTTTTTCCCCAAATAAATATCTAGTTAAAAAAGAAGAAAATGTTCTCCTGTCTATGTCCTTTAGATGGTACCATCCTTTCCAAAGGTCAGGGAAGGCGACATGTAGCAGAGATACTGAGTAAGCACAGATGTGTTCTGGGAGGAATTACTGTTCTGGGCTCAGTGTGTAATATTTTATATTGCCTTATACTTGGCATGAAATACACTTTAGCAATGATGTTTGAAAAAATATTTTAATGTGATAGTCAGTCCTTCTTTTGCCAAAATATTTGCATATTTTTTTTTTACTTATCAACAATGGAGACAAAGTTACTCAAAGCTCAGTCACCTCATGCAAAATTCTTAAATGTCACACTTGATTATTACATAGATTAAAAATCAGAGTATAAGCATGAAATATTTCTCATATCAGTTAGGTTCACAAAAGATAAGACATGAAATCCAGAACGTGAAAGGCCAGGGAGATTTCCAAGTCTTTCAGCATTGTTTGAAAGGTATGTAATGCTTTTAGAATTTTCTTGTGATAATATAGCATGAATGGTCTGTCTCTATTGTTCATAAATCTGATTTTCTTGCATCCTTCCTTGCAAAATAAGAGCATGCCAAGTATAACTTTAAGTGAATTACAACTGTACTTGACATGGGAGAATGAAAGACCTATTTTCCTACACTCTTGAAGGTGACAGCGTTGACATTTTGTTTTTATCATGAAACAAAGCATGAAGTTTCAAGGATGCTAAAATGCGGCTGTCTTTAAAATAAAGTGCATTTCAAATGCTCTGAGGGGGTCATTCAAAAAGCTCATTTTCCAGAATAGTAAACAGCAAGAAATATGTCCTCTAGGCACATGAAGAAAACAGAGTACATCGGGGGTAGTTTAATGCAATGGAATAGAAACTTATCTGAAGTCAATTGGCATGCACACTGATTTACTGCAGTGAATGCCCTGGCCTAGCAATATTGCTTGGATTACATTGGTCCCCTGTTGAGCTGATGTTGAAGAAATTTGCACAGTATTTAACCCCGTAATCCCCAGGTTGCTAAATAGATGCTAGGAAGCTGTTTTGTCTTTGATTTGCTTGGGTACCAAGCAAGAGCCTCAGTGATAATACCAACGTGTAGCTGATCATGAGTTTTTAGAATTGTAAAACTTGACACCTAATATTCCTGCGTAGAGGTGTGCGACATAGTTTCTGAACTGTTATGTTATGGTAGAGTTAAAGAACTCCCTGTGCTGAATCTGATGCTTCCCATCTCTGACAGTATCCTGTGCCAGACTGGGATGTTCTTCAAGTTCATTCTGCGCATTGCCTGCGCTGAATCCATGATGAAACCATGAATGAGGAGAGAGAGGTAGAGAGGGTAATATCCATACCGCAGGGCATGGCATTGCTGGGCGCAGTCCTGGTTTGCAATGGAGAGGGGAAATGATGCTCTGATTAAGGTTGCAACTTCTTAATCCAAATATCAAAACTCGTTGTGAGCTTAAAACTCCTATCTCTGAGCTCACTTCATTTAGCCAGGACTGCATGGGGAGTGATAAGAGAGATCTTATGAAATTTAAGTATTAGTGTGCAGTACAAAAGGTGATGTAAAGGATGAAGAACTCTGTTCCTTGCTTGAGTTTCTCTTATACAAGACCGAGGAAGCAAAGCCAGTAGCCAAACTAGAAATAGGTGCTCAAGAAAGGCAAGTTATTCACTGCAAGCCTTCAAAGAGAGAGCTGATGTGAATTTATAATCTCGTATTTCACTTACAGCATATAAAAGAATTTAACATTGGAAGCCAGGTATCATGTACCTGATACTGATAACTATTTAAATTAATCTACAGATTGATGTTTATGTAATACCTTCGTTGTTTGGATGTTTTTCAGACAGGTACGAGGTTACCCCAGACAAATAAACTTGTCCTTGGAAGAAAAATAAACTTTGCTGAATTAGGAAATACACCCAGAAAGATATCTATCGATGTCAAGTGTCTCTCAGGCTGATTTTTTAATCACTGAAAGTAAGGACTTTGCTGGGCACATATGACGTTCACAGTCTAGCTGTCACAACATGAATATTCTTTAATGAAGTATTTCAGCAGGCCTAGCAATGGTCTGTTTTCTGCACACAGTTTCTGACCATTGACAAAAGAAGACGCCTGAACGTTTACCCCTTAAAGGATAACCGTTGCATGAAACAAATCCTCAGCCTTTCAGTCATTCCAAATGCATTTCCACACACCGGATTCTTTCCTCGCACTGCCACATTTTACCAAAATATTTCAGATGGTTTGAATTCAGTTTTCCACAAAACACTGAGAATCCTCAGCCTCCCTCTCACCACCCCCTCGATACACTCACGGATGGAGGTTTTCAGAAGGAAACACCGTTCCCTGCGATAATAACACAGATTAATCTGAATTTTCTCAAGTTTTGGAATATATTTGATTCACTCAATTTGTCCTGGGATCTGTGACACATTCTGCCCTCAATACCACATATAGACTACAAATCCCTTTTTTAGCACAAATGGACTACAAATTCTTTTTTTTTTTTTTTTTTTTTTTTTTTTTTAGCAAGCTGGTAGTGTGGGGGACAAAGCAAACTGTCCTCTTTGTAGTGAGGATACCTGCAGGACTTGGAGCCCTCCCCCAAATTTCCCTTTTGTATTAACCAAGAGCAGGAGATTTCCCAGCTTTCCTGGGTTCAACCACAGGCAGGTTCCACTTCAGCATGTAAGTTTACTGCTATCGTGTTCATTTTATACAAGTATCAAATCGGGGAACACTTTAAAATACTGAGAGCTCAGGTTTTTTTTTGAGATTCTAGTACACCAGTCACATTTCATAGCACAACAATAGCTTATTTTTAGCAAAATCTATGTTAAAATCACACACACACACACAAGATTTTTTTGTTTGTCTGTTTGCTTTGAGCTACAAAAGCTGAGAAGGAGGCCAGTGAGAAACTCTAACTGCTGGGGGACGCTGATGAAGGTGCTGCAGGCTGGTGATGTTTTTCTTGTCTCCTCACACCATTCATGTGTGAACTTGACAAAGCCAATGTGGAAGGACTTTGGCAGAGTCTCATCAGAAGGGCTGTGTTCTTTCACATTTTCTTTCTTCATTGTTTCTTCTGCGCTGAAAATGCAGAATAAGACTAGGGATCCACAAATCTAAGCTGTATGCTGGACACAATACGATGTTAGATGCAATAGCCTTTCTTTTGTGGATTTTATTTTAAGGAAAGAAAAATTATTAGAGATTAAAGCGTTTGGGATGGAAGATCAAAGACAGAAGGAACGAATTAAATAAATACAGTGCCTGGAGCCTGTTGACTTCATTCAACATGCTGTGGACAGGGAATTTATTAGTGGTTTTGTGAAGTGAGCTGGCATCTTTGCTAATTTTTTTCTTTTGTTCAATCAACGAGTAGACACATTATGTTAAACACTTCAGAAAATGCATGGGATTACTCCAGGCTAAATTTGGTGCACTTAAATCTTTCTGTCATCAGCTTTCAGTGGTGGATCTGCTTACCCGAGATCTGAATCTCTTTACCTCCTTCTGTTGATTCTAGAGGCTGTTGAGGGAGACTTTAGTCTTTGGTATGAAATTGTTAGTTATTGCAGGAGGGGTTTCTTTCCTATGAAGAGATTGATCTTCCATCATCATTGTCACTGTCTTAAAGCCAAAAAATGCCACTGTGCAGCCTTGCTCTCACATACTGCTGATCACACTGTGATGGTTCCAAGAGTAACTGCTCTTGACTGGTTACTGACAGTCCTGGAGAAGTTTTTAACAACTTTCTTGTTTCTGAAATATCTTAAAATGGCTATTTCTGATTTTTTTTTTTTTTTTTAAGATTAAAAATTTTCTAAGTACTGCCAGAAAGTTCACCTTCAGCGAGCTCGCTTTAGCTGATAACTCTGAGAGCACTGGCATCACATCAGCATCCATAAGCGGATGTGCTTTAGACAGGCTTGGTCTGGTGATAACACTGTTTACAATAATGCTGCAGAGAGGAAGAAAGGCCAAAACCAAGTCAGATTCAGAAAAATTTTTCAGATGTTGTCTTTCAGGCCCAGGACATAGCAGTCTGTCTGTCCTAAAGCATCCTTCTAACTACAAAGTTCATAGCATTTGTGCTAAAACGTACCGCCATAGCTGTCACTGAACCCTCTGTGTTTGTAAGTACTGAAGTGAAAAATTAATGGAACCCCTGATTTCAAGGGCTAAGTCATTTTGCAGATTGGGGTATTACCTAAGGCTCTTCTGAATTATGGTAGGATTGAATGAAGCAGATCGCCTGTCCTACTTTGTGTACAGTTTCTGCACAAGCACAAAGGCTTAGGTGGAAAAAAATCTTTTTCTAGACCAACACAGTTAATCTTGGTTCTGTATCTTGGCTTCTTCTAATGCTTGAAGAAATTGAAAACCTATCCCAAAGTGCTGTCTAATTTCCCCTGTGACAGGGAGAAATTGTCAAGTGTAGGTGTCTCTGGGCTCTTGGGACCTTACTGCTGCACAAGCCGCTCATCAAAACCACACTGGCCATAAGGAGGACTTGTGTCCTCTTGCTCTTTGCCCTTGGTGATTGTCCCCATGGGAGTTTAGGGCTACTTACTCTACAGCACCAAGATACTCCAAATTATCCCTGATGAAAAGTGAGTGAGGAGAAAAATGGCTTTGATATCATGCCTGTTTAACCTCTGATCGTTTCAATACCTACAGGATAAGCAGTTGCACAACTGAGGGCTTGGACTGTCCCTGGTAGAGTTTGTGTTCACCCCCTCAGAGGCATCAAAAGTATTTGAAAGGGCTAGGAACAGTGGCTATTTCTGGGGGCCGAAAAGTCAAAGAACATTTTTGTGCTCAAAATTCAAACCGGAACTGAAAACTTAGTGTTGACAAAACATTTTTCATGGAGTGGCAATTTCTTTAAAAAGTGTTCAAGCATTTGTTTTAAAAACATATGATAGCATTGATGTGTTTGCATTTTTCCAATTTAAAATGATGTCATATTTACAGATTACACTCCGGAATCATATAGTGAAAGTAGGTATAAAGTATCTCACTATCATAGAAGCAAAAATGTCTCTTTTGACCTATACTTAAAAGCATGTAAAAAAATCAGTTATGAATTTGTAATTCTCTATGTTTGTTTTGCAAGAAAAAAATTTCTGAAAAGAGAATTTCCCATTATGTTCTGATTCTTACATGGAATATCTAGTTTTATTTTATGTCTTTTTCCTCCTCTCGAATGTTCACTCTATAGAGATTTTTTACTCCAGACAACAAAAAGCAGAGTACATTTCAGGCCTTTTATTTCAGCTGTTTATTGTGTGCATTGATTCTCATGGAAATGAAATAGCAGTAAGTCTTACATGGTTTTTCTGTATGTACAATGTTTTAGGGAAGAGCCTTATCAATGATCTTCTCCACAGGAATGCTTGTAAAATAAAAATACGGGGAAAGAAAAATCGCATGATTGCTGTGAATTCTCTCTATAGTAATCACACAGTTGTATGCAGTTTTGTACTTTGCGAAGGTCTTTTCCCATAGGTAGTTCTTCATTTCACAGAGTAGAGGAAGATTTGGCAGTAACAGATGTAAAAGTTCTTGCCTATGCAATTAGAATAAAATCCTTTTTCCTTGAAATCATGCCAATTTACAACACTGTGAACAGAGGAACAAAAAAATGAACAGAATGCTATTTAAAAAAAAAAAAAAAAGAAGAACATCTGAGAGGGAAACAAACTAATGAAACACATAATTAACTGTACCTGGACACAAAATAAATATTCATTTTTTATATTTGAGATAGATATTATCCTATTGCCCCTCAGTTTCTGTATCTTTCTTCCTCAGGAATAACACCAGATTTGCTCTGTTAAATGATACTTCTGGAGGGAGTAATGTTTAATTGAGACATAAGTAATTCAGGACACATCAGTAGGAATGGACATCTCTGTGAGAGCGAGACATATGTTCTGACTTTTAAATGCAATTAGAGTGGGTTCTAGAAAGAGAAGGTATCATGGGGAAAAATGGCCATGGGGTTTGTAACCAAATGTATTTGGGAAGCATGCAGGAAGTGTTGCATAAAATTTGATTAGAAAAGACAACAGAGGGAAGGGATTCAGAAGGGAAATGGGAAGAGCTCAAGGCTAAATTAATATATGCCTAAGTGTAAGAGCGGCCATCTGGCAACTCATCCCTAACCTGTACTCTCAGGGGAAAGGAAGCAATGGTTTAGATGCAGAAAAGATGAGCAAATATTCTCAAACATCTACAAAAATAATAAAGAAAATTAGAAAGGCTCTAGAAAGCTTTGGTAAAGTTTAGGAAGAAGCAACGAAGCTGGTTGAGAACAGAAAGGCTACTGTAAAGGGTAAGGGCGTTTGTAAGCATGCGGCCTTTCACAGACTTCTGTTCAGAAATCTTTAACGACACTGCAGGACCATCTCTCCAGCTGCTACTGTGTGAAGAGAAAATAAGGAAAAGGTGTACAGTGTTGTTTCCAGAGCCTGATGTGATCCCGAACCGCAGAATCACCAGGAATTCAGAGTGTAAAGAGCTGGTGCCAACACCGAGGACATCTCTGTTCCTCGTATCTGCGGTAGTCCCACGAGCGTGTCCGTGTGACTTTGGACCTGAGCTCGGAGTGGCACAGGGAATGAGGGCGGGTTTGAGCAGGTGCTGAAAGTTAAGCATCTATTCAGTTGTTGTGTTGAATGACAATCTAAGCAAATACGGAGAAATTTTTTTTTTTTTTTTTTTTTTTTTTTTTTTTTTTAATAATGTCTGAGGCTTGCAAAGGTTCAGGATTGTACTGTTTGGTGGGAAACCGCAGCAAACCCTCAAATATGTGCACATGCACTTCTATGAGCAGCAAAGAATATACCGCTGGCAATGTGTCACACGGAGAATGAAGGACAGTCACTGCTGTTAAAATGAACATCAGAAACTATGAGTGCAACGCTTTCTGCAGCCATACCTACCGAGAGATGTATAGAAGTATCACTGTCTATGATATGAATGACCTTGACAAAACCTAGTCATAACTTTTAGAAGGAAATGAGTCTGTAATACAAGGAAGGGCACAGATTATATTTATTAAAAGAAAGAATTAGAATTTCTATCTTTCCAGTTTAAATTTCCCTAGCTTTTAACTTGTAAATATTTTTTTTCCCATATTTATAATGGGAATAAGGTTCTATGAGAAATTAAACACATTTATTTGTATTCCAGAGTTTCTGCTGATTCAAATGTTAACTGTCAGATTTATTAACAGAATACTTCTTCTTTTTTTGACATGTAAGGATCATTTCTTTTTAATGGGAAAAAATTGCACCAGATCTGATTATCATATAAATTGTTCTTGAAATAAAATGGGTTAAAAGAAGTAGGCACTTGTCAAACCAATCCCATTGCTGGTAGTTTCTTTAATTAACCCATCACTTTGGTTCCCCTGCTGCTTCTCTTAACTGAGGGATATCACTAACTTATGTTAAAATTTATCGTTGTTGGGGGTAGATAGCTGCTAGTCTTAGTAAAGTTACCCTGAAGTAGTTAGGTCAGTAAAGAAAGTAGTTAGGAAAAAGTGTCACTGAAGTGAATAAAAGCATCTTAAAGATAATGGTTCACAGCTAGACAGAAAGTGAGTAATCAAAATGTATTCTGCCTCTTATCTTTTCTAATGTGAGGACACTTTGGCATGTACTTTTTTTTTTTTTTTCTTCACATGGAAGGATGTTAGCTGAGATTGTACACCCAACAGGGTTACTATTCATAGATACCCTTGTAAGCTGCCAGTCATCACAACCAATAGCTCCAGAGAATGGAAAAATCATGAGGTGGTAAAAGTAATATAAAGATGTAAAGCAATATTTTTTGCCTTTCCTCTCTGGGTCAAAGCTGGTTCAGGTGGGTACCGTTCCAGAAATAATCAGAAATATATGCTATATGTGTTGCATTATCTTCTTGAATTTTTAAGGCTAGGCCTATGTGTGAATATCTAGCTATAAATAGTAGGATGTTGGTATGGTTGGTTCTACGTGGGCTTGGTAGGAAACGATCTTATGCTTTTAGTTGCCCACATCTTTCAGAAGTTATAAGCACTCGTTGGTTTCAGCCCTTCCTCCTTCCCCATCTTTCTTGCGTTGGCACTTTGCCAAAAGCACGGCAGAACTCTGCTGCTTTTCCCCGATCCTTGGGTTGTCATTTCAGGTCTGGGCAACAGGAGCAGGGAGCAGTGCAAAAGGGGGAAAAAAAGATGGAACCCTACCAAGCCTGCATGGACTGTTAATGCTTTTGCTTTATTGTTTATATTTTAGCTGAGACAGTGAGTTTGAAAAGTTGGTGCTTGACAGACGTGTGTGTCTGAAGGAAGGATCAAGTCGAGGTTATCAGTGACTAAATGAAACAGTAGCCTCTGGACAAGATGGTTTTGTAATAAGAAAAATTGTTTATCAATTGAAGCAAAAACTTTTCTGACAAATCATTGCTGAATTTCCACTTGTGTTCTGGTTTGTTCTGGTTGTGACAGCAGTTAATTGGTTTGAACAGTGGAAATAATTAAGAGACAACAGAGAGGACTCTGCTGAGTAACTGGAGAATTAACTACTCTGAAAATGAATCAGAAGTTTAATGTCATGATTTCTGAGTCGTCTTGCTTCACTTCATTTAAGCTTTTCACAAAAAAAAAAAAAAAATCTTTCTTTAGTCTTTTTTGGTGTCCTATGGACAACTGAAACATCAGACCTGTGCAAACAAAAGTAGAACTTTACATTCATTCAGCTTTCTCATGCAATTTTCTTTCTGCAGTATGTCTGGGAATACAATAATATTTGAGGATAAAGAATACTGAGCTCAATAAGAACTCAAAAGCTTTCAAAACTACAAACCTTGAGAGGAATTGGAAGTCTCCATATTTAATTCGCTCAGCGTCATGCCATAACTATACAATTCCATGACTACTAACATTGCCTAATTGTTTCCATATTTTTGTTCCTGCAGTGAAATATGCGCTTGCTTGGTTTTGGTAGGATGCAACATTTCTTATGTGGTTTGTTTAGTTTTAAAGAAAAGGGTGAGATGAAGCAAATATATATATTTTTATATTTATTACAAACATATACTTGATTCTTACATACAAGAGTTGTTCTTGCCTCCAGTGGGGTAAAGATATTTCTGGTACAGTGCACAACAATGCAAATAGTTGGTGATGTGCAGGAAAAAAAAAAAAAAATCAACCAAGTTTTCTGTAATTCTTTAGTCGATAAGACTTCAGTCAGAGGAGTTTTGTGCAATATTAGAAATAGATTTCTCAGCACACTCTTTTCATGTGAAACTGTTGCAATAGCAAAATGCAAAGCTAATCAAGATGAAAGGCAACTTGTAGAAGTTCAGAACCTTGTAATAAATGCCTTTTAAGAGATCCAGATGTAAGATTTCTTGGTTCTGTAGCTATGGGTTTCCATTGATTCTGAGATGTGCCTTACCAGAAATCTACAACCGTAGTTTGAATATTTTTAATGTGCATTGATAATAACAGACTACAGACTTTCTCAGTCACTTTCTTCCCTCCCACTTTTTTTGCTTCACATGTGTTAATCTGACATAATTAATTGCAGTTGGGAGTGCTGTCAGTATTTTATCAGCTGCAGATTTATGGAGTGGGTAAGCTGTTGATTATTAAGCTTATTAAAAAGGTCCTCCTGATAACTCTGAGTGTTAAACTTTGCTGGGGCATGAGAATCTGTTTTTAGAAAAAAAAAAAAAAATGTCCATGAAAATGTAAGTGGTGAATTTTTTCCAATGGAGTTAGAACTAAGAAGGATCAGGAGATATAACCTGCAGCAGTACAGACACATGGAGCAGTAATGCAGTACATTGATTCCATAATAGGGGGTTTGGGGGGTTTTTGTTTGGATTGTGGGTTGGTTTTGGGGTTTTTTTTGGGGGGGTTTTGTCTGGTTTGTTTGTTTTTTTTTTTTCCCCAGGATATATATGGGAGAAAGATTACCTGCATTTAGTCAAAACAATCACATATTCAACCCTGAAATGAACATTTTTTCAGATAAGCTGACAATACTGTCTATGAATAAAATAAATGAAAAAAAAAATCTGGTCTTCTCTAATCTTCAATTCCTATCTATCCAATAAAAAAATAATAATAAAAAAAGAAAAAAACTAGCTTTTGCAAGTATTCCCAAGCCTTAGAAAGGAAATGTAAATAAATATTTTTAGTGCATGAACCTGTAAACATATTTGATTCTTAATTAGTTTGTTATGATGACAGCTAAGTATTGAATAGCAGAAAAGAAAACTCTGAAGGGAGAAGGGCTAGACAAATACCAAGATACTTGAAGAGATATTTTTTTGGTTGAGAGAAAAAGTTGTCTAAAAGCAAAAGACAGGGATTGCTCTTACTCCCAAGCAGAGCTTTGTGTCTGTGCAGCAATACATCATTTCAAGTTTATTCCAACAGTGTGAGTATATAGCTGTGGAACCTCTTTTTTTCTTTTTATTTCATAGGATGTCTTTCCCGCAGAATGTTCTTCTCCCCCAAGCCTGGTAACATCCACACCCTTCTCATAAGTTTTACTCATCTGAACCCTCCTGATTTTCTTATTGAACTCCAGGAAGCCATAGATGAAGGCAAGAACAAAACAGTCAGAGGGCAGGAGATACCGGAACGGGAAGGGAGTGTCAAAACAGAGTGAGGTGAATCCTGCAGGTACAGGTGCCTCCCACAACAGTCAGAGGTTAATACACTCTCCCCCTTATTTGAGCCATAAAACCTCTTAGTAGGAAAAGACTCACCCTCCTCACCACTGTGACTACAGCTCAGGCTGGTGAAGGTAACAGCTGCCTGGGGATGTGGGATGGAAGCTCCGCACCAGCTGTCATAAGGGTTTCTGAAAGGCATGGTCTGGGATGCTCTTACACTGCTGCTACAGAAGCCTCACCAAGCTCTCAAGGGGTCCCTGTTAAAACGGTCAGTGCCTGTGCCCAGCATTTCCCTCGGGTGTTTCCATTCAATTAACGTCTTAAACCGAGTTGATTATACAGATTTGAGACTGAAATTTGGTGAAAAATCTCTTAATCAGTGCCCTCACTTCACCCAGTGCTGTGAGGGGGTGGGAGAGGGAGAACTTGGGGGCAAATCAGCATCCTGCCATCCTCTCGCGCGTGCTGCTCCAAGAGCCCTGCGCTGCCTCCCACCGCCATCTCTCCAAGCAGAGGGTTTCCTCCAGGCTTAAACTCCCGGAGACACGCCAGGTGAGGCGGGCTGGTGTTCTTTGTAATTGTAACGGGGTGCGTGATGAGGTGGGGATCCCCGCGTCCAGGTAAGGAGGAGCGAGTGGGCAGGGGAGTTGCATGGATAGGGAAGGACAGGGAAGGTCATGGGCTTGGAGACCCCTGTATGGTTGGAGCTGTGTGGCTGTATCCTGGGGGGTCCCGGGAAGAACACCTGCTCTCACCGCTCGGGAAAGAGCGCAGAAGGGTGCCCCGGCGCTCCCGGGTTGTAGTCTGAAGTTGCTGTCCTGGCGGCTCTCCTCTGCCAAGCAAGAGAGGGGATTGATTGCATCGACCCATTATTTTGCGTGTTGCTTTCTTTCCCCCCCGCTCTACCCCGCCACACATACATACACATCCCACGTCGGCCACTCCCTACGAGACAAAATCTCCCAGGGAAGACAGAAAACGATCTCAACCTGGGGACGGCTAACGGAGAGAAGCGGCACTGACCACTCCCAGCGGAGGGGCGGCACAGCCGGATGAGGCGTGTGAGGGGGAGAGCCCCCGACGGAGCCCCCCGCCCCGCTGGGCAGCCTGCAGGCAGCCCTGCCCTCTCCGGGAAGGCTCTCTCGCCACGCCTGCTCTGGGGCAGCCCTTGGGAGGGGGCAGGGGGACTCGCCCAGCTCCGGCCGAGAAGGGGGCGCGCCGAAAAAAAAACCCCAAAAAACCCAAACCAAAAAACCACACAAAACCCCTCAAATCCACACCTACAGGAGGAACAACGGCGTGGGAAGAGGGGGAGGGAAGACGGGGAGGACAACGCAACTCACATGCCAACCTCGCAGCCGGCTCTTCCTCCAGGAAGCG